ACACACACACACACACACATACACACACACACACATACACACACACACACACACACTCACACACTCACACACACACATGCACACACGAGTGCGCACACGAGCCCCTCCTGCGAAAAAAAAATGTTTACAAATACCAGTAACGTTTAAATGTATCCGTCAGGAATTATATTATGTAGGTTCGCAATCATAAAAATACTTCTAAAACTTGATGCAATAAATCAATAACAATACTTCCAGCTGAACAAGACAAACAAGAAGATGGCGGACAAAAAGACCAACGCATCAGTGATGAAAAGTAAACAGTCCGAGAACCAAATCACTCGTCTCCTGCTCACGGTGACCTTCACCTTCCTCTTCTTCATCGGCCTCCAGTGCATAATCCAGTGTTTCGCCATGCGCCAACCGTCATGGGTGAGTGACGCACATGCGTGCACTATTAATAATATAATGCGGTCAAAAATTCGTTGTGTAACTTTTCTGCAAGTATCTTTATAACGGGTGAATCAATGTCACCGATAATTTGCACAACAGTTTATCTCAATTTGCCTTAACTTAATCTTATTTTTTCGCAACAATTCAGGCTAGACTTTAAAAAAACGTTTCTTCATAAATTGATATAAAATACTACATGTACAAACCTCCTTCACGCGGAAAATAGAATTGTTCACAGCATTTCCCACTTCTCACACACATTGTGTATACGCATATGGGTTACGTCACAGCTCACCAATAACACTTTAGTGGCAAAACTAGTTACAAGAAATTAATTTAATTTATAATGAACACTTTTTTGCACTAAAAGTAAAAGTTCAGGAAACATGCGTTCAATGAAGATAATCTGACGATTAGAAAAAATGACGGACTTGCTTTTTAAAGCGATTTCGTCCCAGCTGTAAACCTTTTAAAATCAGAAGAAACCACCCACTCTGGTAATTTATTAGTATTTATTAAGGAATTTTCTAGAATATAGCCTACAGGTCTTTCCCAAAATATTGATCTGTTCAGACAAATTGATACAAGTCACTGTGCAAATGCTGGAGGGTTTATGTTCGTATAGTTGAGAGGATATTATTTGACAATAAGTGAATAAGTTGCGCCACGAATTTTTGACCGCATTAAAGTTTATTTCAATGCATGAACATATAATACTATACCTATCTCCATTAAAAACTCCTTGCTTTTCAAATGCACGTAGCTTTTAAAAAACCTCTTGTTTCATGAAAAGTACACATGTGATGAGTTCCCACCCCGACTGGACATTAGATAAACATGTTTTTGGTTTTTGGGTTGTTGGTTTTTTTGGGGGGGGGTTTGTTTGTTTATTTGTTAGCGTGGTCATCTCTCGTCTTGTGACTTGAGCAAAAAGCGTAAAACATTATTGTCTTTATCGTGTGGGTTCTTATTGAAATTAATCTCACGATTATGGGTCTGGTAGCATAACCACAAGGCTTGACCATGTTGTGTTTTGTAATTCTCTTACTTAAGCGAAATTGTTATAATTATATTTTCAAAGTCTGGGGCGGTGCTACTGACTGAAGTGTCTTTAGGTTAGGCCATTTCCAAAGGGCGGATATTAACATGTTCTTATGCACTGTAGAATTGTAAATGGGCTGATTCATCAATGTCATGCTCATAAAGTCTGTGCCCGAACTGCAACTGGGAACTGCTGCTTCTTCCTTCCTAATCATTTCGTTTTTTCCTCTACTTCTTTTGTATGTTTGTCACATTCTTGTGACCCGATATTTCCGGGGTGCCTTGATAGTCGAAGCAGACTTTGTGCTGTTGAAGCTATAGAGATGAGCAGAGTAAGCCTGATTCCCTGTATGGACTTCTCTGTTGACGTCCACCCCTTGGCGCTCATTTGACCTTATGCAGTCGTGAGCGCCGTAAAAACTCTTCTAAAAAAGGAAAAGTGTCTAAGCCACTGAAATCGTAGATCTAATTTTGTACATTTGGTTTTGCAAGAGTGTGTTGTAATAAGAACTTATGTAATGATTTTGATGACGTGCCACTTTTTGTCCTGCATCGACTTTGTGTGAAACAGCCCCATGTCAGTAGAATGATTTATGTGACTATGCTTGCTCTTTCAGTGGAGTCCTCAATATATATAATACACAGAGAGAGAAAGATAGAGAGAGATAGAGAGAGAGAGAGAGAGAGAGAGAGAGAGAGAGAGAGAGAGAGAGAGAGAGAGAGAAAGTGAGTGAGTGAGTGAGAATAAAGCGATGACGAACGGCTCAAGCGGTGAACTATATTAGATCTACATGTTCACTCACTGGACAAGACATTGATCTTGCCGAATACAAAAAGGCACATCATGAATATAAACTTTGCAATCATTCCGTGTTGTAGGCCGACATGACCAAAGTCTCGTCGGCGTTTGCCTTCGCCAAGACGGGTGTCGTGTTCAACTCGTCCACCAACTTCCTGCTCTACTGCCTCACTGGGCGACGCTTCCGAAAGGAACTGGCTAAGATGCTGGGCTGCTCCAAGAGAGGTTCCTCGCAGTTGTCCAGTCTCATTGACCACCCTTCCTCCGGGCCCACCTCGGGCGCCTCCACTACATCCACCACGGGAATCTGAGGCTTCAGAGGACGAGCAAAAGCCGAGTCACCAAGACCACTCCGTCGGTGTCACAAGCAATCTACTTAAGTTCGTTTGGGTCCTTTTTTTTCACCAGAGATCCCCCTCCAAAAAAAAATAATAATTCTAGATCTAGTTTTTGTTGTGTTGTTCCTAACAGGAATCATGAAAGACAAGACAATTGTTAGCCTTGGCAATAGCATTAAACTGCATTGTTCTGATGTTGAAAGATGCATCTTTGACAGAGCTTTGAGAGGGTGTAAAAATAAAAAATTATCCAAATTTGGACGTAAGTGGATTGATTGCAACAAAGACCACGTTCCCCAACATGAGATAAAGACACTGTTGTACTCACGTTCACCCTTTGTCTTGTTTGGCTGTTACCCTCTCTTCAGTTCTTCTTTTCTAGCCCATATTTAAGGAATACGATGAAACACATTGGTGTCGTCTCCTTTTTGCTAAAGGTCCAGCAAAGTATTCAAGTATTCCCCGGCAACCAAGGACCATCGACGTACCCGTGTTTTTGTGTATTTATTTTCTTGCGATGTGTTGTATTACATAAAGCAGTAACCGTGTATATATCCATTGTGCTCCCAGTTGCCCAAAACACTGTATCTGAAACAGGTAGGACAGGTTCATTGTATAAAAAGAAACGTACATGCCGAAAGCAGTACATACGTATCTTGCACCAAAGCGGTTCCCTATTCTTGTGCATTTGTATAGTATAAGTATACAGAACAGAAGCTCAAATATAATCATTACTTCCGTTGTAAAGATTAAAATGATAACAACGATATTGATAATAATGATAATTCAAAAAAAATAATAATCATAATAATCATATAAATTATAATTATCATAGTTTTAAGAGTTGTACATGGTTTGTTTTTATCATCCAATTGCATTCCGTGTTTTACCGGCAAGTACCAACATTGTGTGTAGAGATCAGTCACATTTTGTAATGACATAATATATATAAAAGAAGCTTCCTGTTGCTACTATGATTATGATCAGTTTCTTTGGATTGTCACTCAGATCAATAAGATCTGAATAATATTATTATTACTAGATCAAATATAATATTTCTTCTTCTTCTTCTTCTTCTTCTTCTTCTCCTTCTTCTTCTCCTTCTTCTTCTCCTTCTTCTTCTCCTTCTTCTTCTTCTTCTTCTTCTTCTTCTTCTTCTTCTTCTTAGCATTATTATTATTATTATTATTATTATTATTATTATTATTATTATTATTATTATTATTATATTATTATTATTATTACATGTATTATTATTATTATCATTATTATATTATCACCATTACTATTAGGCCCTACATTTATTACATGTATTATTATTATTATCATTATTATTATTATTATTATTATTATCATCATCATCATCATCATCATTTATTATTATTATTATTATTATTATTATTATTATTATTTACTTTGTTCACTTTCAGTATCTAAAGAATAGTATTTCTAAACCACTTTAGATAAATGCCTATGCTTCTTGCCTAATTTGTATTGAATAGTATAAGTATTATGTAGTGTAGAGCCAACGCTCTCAGAGGACCAGAGTTTGATTCCCATGTGTGGAGAATTTTTATTGAGTATCTGCTGAGACGCTGTATCCCCCTCTCAACCCTAGTTGTTCCTGACAGGCATGACAAGTCAAATTAAGCTTAAATATATATGTACATTTGTATATATATATACATGTATAATGTACATGTATATATATAAAATATATAAAATATACATACTGAATGCAACATGTGACTTGTGGTGACTCAAGTATCTTTCCCAAAACCTCCACCACTAACGTTCTCCTCCTCCCAATTTGTCTCACACTATTTATGTTCAGTTATTGGAATTAGAAGGAACTGAGATGGAGTCACGCTGGAGACTCGCCCTTCTGGCCTATGAATTCAACTAGTGTCAACCAGATGATTAATGAACAACTCTTCCCTGAAATTTTTTTTGTCGTGAAAAATGTGTTCTATCTTATGTTGATTCTTCTATTGTTGTTACTTTTATGGTGTTACATATTATTCATTATAATTTATAATGACGATAACAATGTGTTTGCTTATTTTCAATTGGGTAGGGGTAAAAATAATACATGTAGTTTATGGATGTTTTTAAAAATGAAAAGGAAAAGAAAGTGCGGACAGCCGTAAGGCACACGATGATAGGGTTGTTGTCGGTTGGTACTGCCAGCAAAATAAATCACCAGTAGGGCTTAAGGCTAATAGCCAGTTCACAATTACAAGTTAAAGTTCGTCAAATCTCCACATGATTCGTTTGATACAATTAACCGGGCTGTCTTTCAATAAGATAAAAGGGGGGACAGGGTAGGGGGGGGGGGCAAAGCTACCACATATGGCACAATTTAATATAATAAAATCCTCAAAATCAGGCATGTTTCCTTTTTCTTGAACACACGTTGATGTGTTTCATACAAATTTGAAGAAAACAACAAATCAAAAGGTTATTATTAGACAGAGTGGTGTCCAATCGTTTGTTTAGGCGCGGGATGCGATTGGCCTTTGTGGACTTCCTGGTCACACTTGGTGATACAAAACAGAGGTCAATGCCATATAATCAAAATGTGCACTGGCGCGGTCATTAATCGACCCGACCTGACCCTATCCGATTATTCAGACCGGGTTCATTAAATTTTGACCCATGGGTATCCGCTGTAAGAACCAAAGTAGTAGCAGTATAAGGTTTTACGGCGCTCGCAACTGCTAAGGTCATATGAGCGCGCGAAACACAAGTTGTTCACCTCTGCGAAAGTTCACTTCACGACTGGTAACTAATTTACTTTAAAATGCTAAAAAGTTAAAATATTCAAATTCGGTGTAAATACATTTGTGATCTAAAACAACTTTTAAGCAACAATAAAATTTTTTAATAATATCAGATTCACTTTACAACTCGCCATAAAGGCCAATGGCCTTTGAACCAAAAGTGTGTAGTTTTGCAACGTGTCAATCTCACCGTCAGGGAAGGATCAGGAATCCATTGATGATGATGATGATGATGATGATGATGATGATGATGGTGATGATGATGATGATGATGATGATGATGATGATGATGATGATGATGACTTTTTTTAAAGGAAGAAAGTGACACGTGTGAATGACGCAATCGAGGAAATAAAACAGGCGGAAGCGGCCTCAGACTTCGACCCCACTTGAACTGTCTAAACTGCAGCTGGTGTTTACGTTTTCAAGAGCCCTTAGCAGGGGATGAGTATTGAGCTAAGTGCAGTCGTAAACGTCCGTGCACACGCCTAATGACTCTTGAAGTGAATGGGATTTTATGTGCCTTGGTTATAGTAAGAGTTTTACAACACGTGCAACACAATAAGGTAATATAAGTGTTAAAGATTAGAAGTGATACAAGCGAGTAATAAACAAAAAAAAAGACGGAAAAGATTTAGGGACCACATATGTTTAATAAATAATAAGGGACGTCAGCTCAGAGGGGGGTAGTGAAACGTTGACAAAAGTTGACATGGACCTTACATGGGGAGTCCTTGCAAAGTTGACATCAACCATGATGCTCTAAAAGGTTTGGAGGAGGGGGGGAGGGGGGAGAAGAAAGGAAGAAAAAATATTATAGACCATATTTTCTTGGCCTGAAATCAGTACAGGGTTAAATTGGGCCATATTGACAGTTCGGGTATTTCTTTGTTGCATTCTAAAATAATAGTTTTTATTTTTAAAATACAAAGGTTCTATCTAAATGTGCATGTACATTTTGGTTGACGTCAGCTGGGGGTGGGGTTCTGGGAATGATGACAGAAGATACAAGGGGGGAGTGTGGGGTCATTTTAGGCCAAATTTTAGCTGACATCCTTTGTGAACGGTCCCTAAGAAAGAAGGATCAAACCACATCAAAGTACCCGCGGCGCCAACCACCTCCTTCATTCACACGTCTGTGTCGCATTGATAACAACGATAAGAGACAATAATGCAATCTTTGGACATGATAAAATACAACTCGCCTATACATGGGTAATAAGAGCACATTTTTTTCTCCCAAATTGAGGTTCAAAATGTTAACCTCCGCATTATACGGGGAACGACATCGATAAAGCGACGATATTAAGCTGGGATCAGATTCAACAAAGGGAAAGTAATGTAATGTCGCTCTTTGGATAAGAATTTCGATCTGTGATCTATCTTTTGCAACTTATTTGTCCGATGCTTTCATCATAACTATTACTATAATTAGACCTATTGCTCTTGTCATTTTAGTTTTGTGGAATGTTAAAATGTTATATTTTCCCACATTTCTTAGATCTGCGGTTGTTTCAGAACAGGTCTATGTCACACAGTGTATATAAAGGTACATACATGTACATACGATCTTGAACTCCCCTAATAAGCCACTCTGTCCATCATTACCATTTCGGTCCCCCAAGGGACAGGGGATGTTACAGCTATAATCTAATCAAGCGCTTACATATAACACCTTTATTCACGTACCATACAGTGTATGTTAGTGTTATTTTTTTTTAATGATGGGCGTGTAATGGTATGCTATTCAAACACTACAGCAAGTCGAATACGCACTAACACTTACATTATTATAACAATCGAGAGAGAGAGAGAGAGAGGGGGGGGGAGGGAGGGAGAGAGAGAGAGAGAGAGAGAGAGAGAGAGAGAGAGAGAGAGAGAGAGAGAGAGAGAGAGAGAGAGAGAGATAGACAGACAGACAGACAGAAACCAAAGAACAAGACAGACAGACAGACAAGCAGACAGACATGCAGACAGACAGACTGAGACAGGAAGATTGACAGACAGAAAGCAAGAAAGCCAAACAGATAACAGACAGACAGATTGAGACAGGAAGATTGATAGACAGAAAGCTAGAAAGCCAAACAGACACTAGACACTAGACAGACAGACAGACAGACAGACACTAGACAGACAGCTCGGTAAACTTTCAAAATATCATAGTTTCATAATTTCCGACGTGACATGATTTTTTAAACTAATCTCCTTCCCGAGAGTCAGATCCCATCATGTCCAACCACAATTTTAAAAATCTCACCGTCGTTGGACCTTGCGGTGCGCAGCAGCATAAAATCTAATAGGTGAGATTTAGTCCAACAAGTAAGGAAGAAAAAAACTTTGATTTGACCTCGTATAACATGCACATGTATAATGTAGTAGTGATAGAGACAGCTACATTTATTAATTAACTGGGGGAAAAAAATCCAAATTCTTTTTGCAGGAAAATTATTCATCTTTGAAAGACGGTGCAGACAGACAACATAGGCCTACTTTGTTAGAGAAATCTGAAAGTTTCATGCTATTTTTTCGGTGACAAAAAAAACAAACCCCAACCAAAACGGTTTACCATTGTTCGACATTCGTCAAAGCTATTGTTGTAACACCTCTCTTTGAATGTGTGTGTCTGTCTGTCTGAGTATATGTGTGTGTGTGTGTGTGTGTGTGTGTGTGTGTGTGTGCGAGTGTGTGTGTGCGTGTGAGAGAGTGCGTGTACGTGCGTGAGTGTGTGTGTGTGCGTGTGTGTGTGTGTGTGTGTGTGTGTGTGTGTGTGTGACGTGTACGCGAGCCTGTCTCCGTTTTTTTTTATCTTTAAAAGCAGATACAGTGGAATCCTGTTATAACGAGAGGGAGAGGACCGGTGCAAATGTCCGTTATAGCAGGATTCTCGTTATGAGGGATCCAGTAATAAATTCAATGGAAATAGTAAAGTAGGCCTAATCTATGAGTTTGTTGTTCTGTTTATTCCTTTTTGTATTTCCCCCTGACGACGATTTTGTTCAACATGATCTCTAGGTCTTACTTGATCAAAAATCGAATCAGGTTTCTTTCTCTAGCACTAGCAATGTTGACAAATCGGCTTTGGCGATCAGAAAGAAGGGGCTCTGGCTCTAGGCTACTCGTAACTCGCCCAAAGTGTTGTTCCCCACCTCACCCCACCCTGTGGTGCGTTGCG